GGCTCTCTCCGGATCTCTGTCAGAGCAATGACGCAGTAGACCTCGGGATGGGTATCTGACATGCACGTGAGGCAAACGGCAAAAGGACCCACAGTGAATCCATATCTGCCGGCCATGCGAAGATCAGTGGGAAGCCAGGGCCAGCAACCGTGGGAAAGTTTGAATCAGCAAAGGGCTGTCTGTTGACGTCAAAAGTCAGCAAAGTCAGTGGGCAACCGTGGGAAAGTTTGAATCTGCGAGAGGCTGTCTCCGACCCCTAATCGTAAAACCTCGTCGAGACTCCTGTCCGAATGGTTGTCTACAACCGTGGGAGACCCAGACCATGTGGGGTCCGGACCGTGGGTGGGATAGCCAGACCGTGGGAGACCCGGACTGCGGGAGAGTTTCCATGGCAACCGTGGGAGACCCAGACCATGTGGGGTCCGGACCGTGGGTGGGATAGTCAGACCGTGGGAGACCCAGACCGCGGGAGAGTTTCCATGGCAACCGTGGGATAGCCAGACCATGTGGCACTCAGACCATGCGGCCCTCAGACCGTGGGAATGTTTGGATCTGTTAGACACCGTGGGAAAATTCGAAACTGCGAGAGGCTGTCTCCGACCCCTCATCGTAAATCCTTGTTGCTGTACGTGTGCCAACTGTTGTCTGCAACCGTGGGAGACCCAGGCCATGTGGGAACAAGACCGTGGGATAGTCAGACCATGTGGCAATCAGACCATGCGGCACTCGGACCGTGGGAAAGTTCGGATCTGCGGGAGGCTGTCTCCGACCTCTGGTCGTCGTGCACATGCATCTTGCATCTTGGTTGGACGGCAACAATGGCTCGTCGTGGGAAGGATAAGAACGACAGTCATTCATCAGTCTCCAGCTCTCATCCCGACATGCAGCAATGACTGTGCAAAACCAAAAAGGAAATGTCCATTGCATATTAGGGTATATTATTAATTGTACGTAATCATATTTTTTTGGTGTTTTGGTTTGACCGTCTAGGCAGGGCCCCACATGATCCAGAGGCAGTCCCGAACGGCTGGGTGCTCAGTGGCGGGCCGGCGGGTAGCCAGGTGGTAGAGGCGGGACCTTCTGTACCTCGAAGCTGAGCACTGTTGGGATCACGCGCGACACTGTTGAACTCCTCTTCCGCTTGCCCGGAGATGACTTAACCGGCTCTAGTAGTGGAACGAGTCCGGCATACTTGTTCGCAAACGATATCGTGGTACGCTCGGACACATCTTCCCAGCGGATATCGCGCACTGTTTCGTCCTCCACGGCGCGCTTCTCAAAGTATAGCCCCTCGATGAGTCGCGCTGGTACAAGGAGCAGGTCGCGTAACAGGCTGGTGATGTACTCTGCGTCTGCAACCGGCGGATAGTGGGTGAAGATGGTCGTGAAGAGTCGTGCAGCATCGGTGAACTGACCGACCTCGGTGGCGATGGGATGTGCACGGAGGTGTCGTTCGAGCACGCTGAATAGCGACACGGGGCCGTCGCGGTCAAGGACAAACTCCACTGTTCCAGGACGCGGCTTGAGGAATGATGAGTGGGCAACAGGAGCTTGAAGGCCGAGTCGCCCCTGCAGGAAAAGTAGGATCCAGGAGACGTCGGAGACACTTCGCTCAGTCGATGGCGGTGGTGGAAGGGCGGGGAGTTCGTAACCACGGAGAAAGGAGCGAATATTGGCGAACACCATGACGGTGTGGGTGACGTTGAGATGCACTGACCATGTCTGCCATACTTTAGTCTGAACGTTAGAAGCCAGGTGCTGTCAGTGGTA